CGCGCCGGCTGCGGCGGCCGCCCCGAGCTCCACTGCGCCGCGCGCGCCCGACTCGTCACAAAACACGTCTTCACTAAAATCGAAGGGAGATTGGATGCCATTCTAAACTGTTCCCATTATCACGATCGAGGTCGATTGTGCTTTGCATACCTTTGATGTCTTCGATGACCTGGTCGTCCAAGTGTAGAGGGCCCCCGTTGTGCTCGTCCAGTAGTCTGGCCAGCTCGGCGTGCACGGCGCGCGCGCCCAGTGGCTGCGACTGCAGCGCGTGTAGTACCACGCACGAGTGCACCACTGCCGACATGTCCCACACAATATTTATTTAGGTTTGTTGCTAGTTTTGTATCTAGTTAATGAAGTAAAATATCAAAGTAATGGAGTTTACCTGCGGCGACCTCTACATCTTTTGCACCGATGCTGACGACGAGCACGGCGGGCGCGCCCAGCGTGAGCGCGCACAGACGAGGACTGTCCGCCCACACCACGCCCGACACCTACACACACACATCACTCTCACACGCAATGTCACTCGACTATACAATATCTTATACTTTGGATAAAGCTGAAGAGTTTGTTTGTTTGTTCGAACGCGCTCTCTGGACGTGCATTTATCGAGGAAGGCTATAGGAGGAGGCTCCTTTTTGAGGAGTGGCTTGAGAGACGCTACGGCGTCCTCTTCTACGGCATGACGCAGGTCCTCACTGGACATGGGAGCTTCGGGAGGTACCTGTGTCTGATATGGCGGGAGGAAACGCCCGTGGGATGAGCACCACCGTGCCCTCAGGGATGTGATCGGAGACGGCGACGGCGACCTCTAGCATCCGGTCCTAGTCCGGGCCGTGATGCCGAGCGAGGATGCCGTCTCCTGTTTTTGCGAAGCAGTCATGCTAGCTCAGGTGGCGGGGCGCGTGACGTAGCGAAGTGCTGCCTCCTCACAAACCAGCCGTCGCGAAGGACACTTCGGGCGTCGAGTGGTTTTTAGTCTCAAATTAATCAAGATTTTCCCTCCTTAAAAAAATAGGATATAAAACATCACGGTACGGGCAATAGGAGATGGGCAGAGCGGGTGATAACGCGCGGGAGTAACTGGTAATAAAATTATTTTTAAAATTAGGGCTGCTACTTTTTGAATTAGGTACTGACAGTTTTTTTTTGACAAAATTTTGATACTTGTTGCTACAGTTTTGCTAAATCTTTTTTTTTGTACGAAAGGACAGTAGGCAAAATATACCCAGCTCCGCCACGGCTCTGACTATTTCTGTTTGAAAGGTATCATCATAGCCACGATTCACTGTTCCATAGCTCATCAAATTCCGACCCGGCATTCTCTTTATAAAAACATATTTTTTATAATATTGAGCTGTAACTTCCTTGTATGTACGGGTGGCGTGCGCAGGGTTCCTGCACGTACATTACAAACAAGTGACATTTACTTCAGAGGGCTTAGTGCGAGTTGGATTTAAAACAAACTCGCACCGAACCGGTGGTTTTATGGTATAGGAGGCAAACGAGCAGACGGATCACCTGATGGTAAGCGACCAGCGCCGCCCATGGACACCCGCAACACCAGAGGAGTCACAGGTGCGTTGCCGGCCTTTTAAAAAGGAATACGCTCTTTTCTTGAAGGTTTGAAGGTCGTATCGGTTCGGAAATACCGCCGACGACAGATCATTCCACAGTTTTGCTGTGCGAGGCAGAAGCATCGTGAGAAGCGCACAGTTGTGGCCTGCCAACCATCTACATATATGGTGGGGAGGTATATGCTGTCGTGAGGGTCGATGGCGAAAAGATACGGCAAGTATCAGGTCAAACAATTCCTCAGAGCACTCCCCGTGGTATGAGCGATAGAGAATGCACAACGAGATATAGAGAGAGAATAGAGCTGCAGAAATATTGTAACAAAACTTTATAATTACCTCATAGTGTATGAAGAGCACTTTAGCTAGTGTCTCCCGAAACAGAGTGGGGGTAAGCAGAGACTCCACCACTACAACTTTACGTTCCTTCGGGTTGACCAGCACATGCCTGTGGGAATATTTTTATAAGAGAAAAGTTATAATGCTACAGGAAGAGCCGAGTGACGCGGCCAGCAGACCTGAAGTAGAGCTGGTGCAGCATGTGCACGAGGTTGTCGTAGAGCTCCGCGGCCGAGCGGTAGTCGTGCAGGCGCCGGTAGCGCCGCGTGGCCGGGCACCAGAACTCCGAGCGCACGATGCAGCGCGGCGCCGCCTCGCCCGTGAACCCAAATCTGCACAATGTCACATTACTGACATCACGTGATCTAGTCTATTGTATTTGGTGACTTGTTGGTGTTCTGGTTGAGAAATAATTACATTTGTGTAACATTTTAAATGTTCCAGTCAGGTCTAGCTGTAATTGTCTCCAGTTATATTATTATTATATAAATATATTTCAGCACTGAACGGCCACATAAATTATAACAACTTGCTAAGCTAGTGGTGAGTATACAGGTGTCCTTGATAGTATGGATCAAATTGAACAGGGTCATAGAGGACGTCAACTTCTAATTTATTTAGACTGTAGTGTAGTGTAGTGTAGTGTAAAGTAGTGGAGTGGAGTGTACAAGAGTACAAAGTCTCGCTTGTACTCTTGTACACTCCAGCACGCCGCAAGCTTTTTGAAGACCTCTTCAAGGGTTGCAGTGAAGGGTTTCGGGGATAGCGGGTCGCCTTGTTTGACCCCCTTAAAATAGGGAAGGATTGGTAGAGTTTGTGTAGAGTGATTGCTGCAGTACTTTCATGGTAAATGTTCCGAAGTAAATTGATATAGGTGGGGTGGCCGGTGGATGTCTTGGTTGTTTAGTGCTGTGAATATTGATGAAAGAGTGAGACTGGCAAAAGTTTTTTGGTATTTTTCCGGTTTTTAATATGGAGTTAAACGAATTGGTGATATGTGGCAACAGAATTGGTTCTCCTATTTTCAATGATTCCGTGGTAATACCATCTTTGCTGTATTTTATGTTTAGTAAGGCTTGATGAACTTCAAAGCCGGTAACAAGTATATATTGTTTGTGTGTGTTTGGGTGTTGTTATCGGCAGTATAAAGGGATTTATAATATTCTGTACAAACATTTTAAATATTTCTTTTGTCTGTGTTTTATTCCGGAATTGTGTTTGTGGTTGCTTATTGTTACTTTTCCATTTTACGTGCCTCTAATTGCGGTTGTAAGGAACTGGTTTTACTCCAGAGTGGAGTAAGTTGTGTGTGGTAATACGGATCTCTGTGTGGATTTTGCTTTTTTTCGTTTTTGGTGGCAATTTTTTCGTTCTGTGTTTTGATGTTGATTTTGATGTTGTGGCTTGCAGTTGTTATGCATTTTGAAATATTTCTGTATTGTATTTCCACGTCTTCTATATCTAAACTAAAAGTTTGAAAACAGTTCTTTTATTCTAGAATAAAACAGTCTTTACTTGCAATTAATGTCAACTTATCTATTCTTTTAATTGAATTTTCTATTATATTATGTGCCTGTAGTATCTTCTGGTTAAGTTTTACGTAAGAACTGAATTTGAAATTACTGAGAACCTCAGAACCTCAACAATAGTTATTATTAGTTTAGTAGAGGGGCGGCTGAAGTCTATTTCTTCCACAGTTAAATAACTAGCATTTAAAATGGAATACTTCAAATGGGAAGTTTTCAGTTCTTAAATGAAAATTTATTAAATTTTCAAGTGATTTTTATTAAAGTTGTCCCTGCTTCAAGAAAACTTTCACCATTGATATAGATTTTATTTAGAGGTATAAATTACAAAGATATACCCAATAGTTAAGGAGATAGACAATTTTATTAATGAAGATGTCATAATTTAGAAATTTAGTTTCAAAATGTTGTGTCTTTCAGCTACTACCAATTGATTTCAGTTTCCAGATATCTGTAATTTTCATTTTATTCACTATCTCAGTAGTAAGAAATTCAGGTTGAAATAAAGTATACATCATTCATAAGGTCTACATTATAGACCTTATTTCTGATGTGTAGAGACTACTTTAGTATGAACAAATTTAGGGTATGATATTTCAACAGGTTAAGTAATTTTATTTTATGTTATGTTAAGTTATTTGTTTATTGGAAGTTTTATGTACAATTTTATGATGTTTTTTGCATGTTGTGGCCTCCTACAATTGAGGAAGCACATTTCAATTTTTTGTAATGTTACTCTTGTGTATGTTTTCCTTGTTGAAGACCCTAATTCAATAAATAAATAAATAAAATAATATTACACTTCATGACCCTTTAATATTCAGAGAGGACACTGCTAACACAATAGAACTCGGTAACCAAAACCTTTTTATGAATAGCTGTATACATATGTAATATAATACTATTGCACTTTTGTAAAAGTGTGAGCATCATTCATGTATTTCCTGATTCGACTGGTCTATCAGCGATGTACTCACTTTGTGTAGTCAGTGCCGAGGTCCAACACGACAGCTTGCTTCTCTTGTATTAGCGCTATCCCCTCGTATAGCGCCATGTGTACTGCCTGTTTATATTGCTTGTTTTAAATATTTCAGTCCAAGTCATGTGGACTAACACTACTAGTGACCAGCAGTGACTGAATCAACTCATGAATGGAAACGTTCACTTCCACTGCCACAACAACACAGCGGCCACCACGCCGGTGACTTGTTTGGAGCACCTTGATGGTTAGGTGATAAAATAGTATTTGCAATGTTTTAGTTTTGTAAATATAAATAGATAATGTTGTGTAACTCGGTAGACGTGTAGAAAAATAAATTAATAACTTGGCTAAAGTCTAATAGAATATAATGCGACACTTGAGTTTGACGTTGACGTTTGATGTGACGTTTGACGTTTTAGCATGGCAGTGAATATGTCTGGAGACTCCGTTGCCAAAAAGAAAAAAAAAATCAAAATATGTTTGTATTTATTTTTGATTAATTTTAAGTTGTAAATATTTATGTAGTTATTTGTCTATGTTCATCATTTAAACCTCGAATAAAAACCCTAAATAAATATTTTTTGATTAATAAAAAAAAAATGCTATCTTAAATATTATTGTTATGGGAACCAAACAAATGGGTAAATACACTTTCTGAAGCGTATAGATTGGAGAGCGGGGTGAGACAGAGGGGTTTGACATCTCCCAAGCTCTTTAATCTATATTTAAATGACCTCATCGTCCAGCTCGCCAGCAGGCGCGTCGGTTGCTCGATAGATGGTGTTCGTGTAAACAACATAAGCTACGCGGACGATATGGTGCTGCTGAGCCCGACAGTGGGGAGTCTCAGAAAGATGCTAGAGGTGTGTGGGAACTATGCGGATGTACATACATGGTCTTCTGTTGTATAATGTAAAGAAGAGTGAATACATGATCTTCAGGGCCGGTGGTAGATGCCTCGATAATTCACCTAGTGTTACCCTAAATGGCTTGAGCGTAAATCGTGTTACTTAAATATCTGGGACATTTCCTTTCCGACGGCCTTGAGGATGATGTAGATACAAGATATTGAGAGGGAGCGCAGGGCTCATGCGGTCAGAGGTAATATGCTGGCTCGCAGATTCTCTCGCTGTTCTGACGAAGTTAAGACTACGCTTTTTAAGGCATATTGTCAGAGCTTCTTTACGGGAAGTCTGTGGGTCAGTCACACCAAAAGATCGCTGGATGTCCTGCGCATCCAATATAACAATGTCTTCAGGATGATGTTGGGGCTGCCCCGATTCTGTAGTGCATCGAGTATGTTCGCACTATATCGCACTGATTAATTTCACGCCGTTATTCGCAAATAGACAGCATCCCATCTGCAGATTGCGTGGCAGCCGGAACAAAATCCTGGAGACTGTGGCGGATAGATTCACATCCCCACTCTGGAGGTCATTTGTGAGAAGAGTTATTTAATAATTTAATTTAATAATAATTATGTATTTCTGTCCGGTTGATTATTGTGGACTTATAAGAGATCCATAAAATTAATTAATATCTATACCATACATCATTAATATCATACCATCGCTGTCATACAAAATTTAGTCAAATATCTAGTCAAATTTATGATATTAATGATGTATGGTATAGATATTAATTAATTTTATGGATCTCTTATAAGTCCGCAATAAATGATTTTTATTTTATTTAAGGCATCATAAAACAAATCATCGCTATCAAAGTTAAAGTCAAAGTCAAAGCATTTATTTCAATTAAACCATAGTTTGGTACTTTTGAAACGTCAACAAATACAAAATAAATAATAGTCTGTCAG